GAGTTTAGAGGTGGTGGTTACGGTGACAGGCTAAAGACTTATCACCTAATCAAAAGTAATTCCTAAAACCACTAACTAAAATAGATAGGGAAGTAGGGTCGAATCCATAGGGAAACTGGTCTTTCTATTCCTAATTAATTAAAGTAATCTAAATTATCAAGTAACCAATATATTATAATTAACAGAAACTAAACTACGAAGATTAAGAATAAGGAGAAAACAATGAATAAAAGGTCCAGGGCATAGGTTCACCAATAAATAATATTCTAGGGTAAAACATAATAATCAATCATCAATGCATACATTAATCAGATCATAAAGGGCTTTCGCTACGTATTACAATCACACAATTAATTTACCGGTATTAAATCTTATCTCTCGAATCTCGACTTAACCATTTATAAATTAACCTGCCTATTGAAATTAGACCTAAACATCAATTCTCATCTCTCGAATCTCGAATCAATATTGTCAAACTCATGCATAAAAGATCTGCACAAATCTAGTCACAGAGAATTAAATCAATCAATAGGAAATTAATCTAGCATTGACAATTAACAACAATAAATTACCCCTTCATATTATTTATGGATCCCTACAAACCCTAGAAATAGAACTACTCACACATAATTAAATCTAAACAAATCAAAGTAATAAAACAAGAGATGATCAAAGGAATAAAACAAATAACTAAGATTACGAGAAGAGAAATCGTTACCAAAGAAATCTAAAATTAAGAATAGAGTCAAGAACAAAGTATATGAGAGAGAGAAACTAATATAAAAGCTAAGTAGAGAGAGAGAATCTAAGAAAGAATTAAGAAAGAGTAAAAGAAGATGCTAAACTCGCTTAACGGAAAAGTATTTATACTAAGCAAGAATCCTAAACTAAAACAAACTTAAACGACGACAATTGATATGTCCAATTTATATAGTGTTTTACCTCCGTCCCATGGTCATAATTAGTGGTGTTTTTGGCTCTTTAGAGCCACTTTCATTACTAATTTGTGTTTTCTAGTGTTTTTTGTAGCTTTGCTTGAGTTTGTAGGAAATTGCACATATGGAGCGTTTTCCGGGTTTTTCATGAAGCAACTACGAGCATTAGGAGGACACGACCGTCTTTGAATCCCAGGACCGGTTGAGAGCCGGTGGTTAAGGGCTCGGTATGTAATACCGGGGCATATGGATCGAGTATTCAAGACCCGAAGAGGAAATCCGGATTGGGCCGAAGAATCGAGCCCAATCGAAGTCCAAGCCTCGAAGAAGAAGCCGAGCCTGATCGGGCAAGCTTGCGCCCGATCGGGCGGGCGCGCACAAAGAACCAGCACCAAGAAGGCGCGCCCGATCGGGCGCGGCGCATCAGGAAGGGCGGAGGAAAAAAAGGCGGGCCCGATCGGGCGACCCTTCGCCTGATCGGGCGCGTGTTTTTGGAAGACCCGATCGTCGAGATTTTTAGTTTTCAATTAGGATTTGTTTTAGGGAAGTTTAAGTACGATTTTTGTACGTAATTTTGATTACCTTCTCCTTTAGATTTTCTCTCTCTACTTAGAATATTTTCTCTCTCTTAAATTCTCTCAACTTTGTTCTTAACTCCATTCCTTAATCCAGATTTCTTTTGGTTACAATTTCGTCTCTTTTAATTTTAGTTATTTTCTTTAATTCTTTCATCATGTCTTGATTTATTGTTTTGATTAGTTTGGATTTAATTATGCTTGAGTAGTTTTATTTCTAGGGTTTATGGGGATCTAACAAATAATATGAAGGGGTAATTTGTGATTGTTGATTATCAATGCTTGATTAATTTCCTATTGATTGATTTAATGTTATGCAATTAGGTTTGTCCAGATTTAATTGTATGAGTTTAACAATATTAATTCGAGATTCGATAGATAAGAATTGATGTTTAGGCTTAGTTTCAATAGGCGGATTAATTTATAAATGGTTAACACTACAAGAAATAGGCCGATTTCCGATGGAAGTGTTCCGACGGACACGAAAATCCGTCGCAAATCACAGAATTTCCGACAGAATTTTTTTCTGTCGCAAATTCTCGACGGAATTTTCATAGCAAAGTATATTCCGACGGGAATTTCCGTCACAAAAGGCAGTGACTAAATTCATTTTAAAATAAGAAAACTTTGTATAAATAACTAATTCTAACCCTTTACCCCTCATTTTAGACCTTCCGTCGTTTCATCTCCCCTTTCTCTCTCTTCTCTTTATCTCTCCTTTCTCACTCTTCTCCTTCGCTCTCACTCCTCTCCTTCGCTCTCTTCAGTCTCCCTCATCACTCCTTTTCTATGTACTCCCTCTCCTCTTTGTCCGATCCTTTTGATGTTGAATTCCGGCCAAGCTAGCCCACAAAGCAACCCCAATTTATTTTCCGACCAATCTCTGGGTTTTTTTCATATCTAATTTATGGTTCTAATGTCAAGTTCGACCATCGAAATGCTAGATCTAGCGTTTTCATGGTCGAATTTGGCCTTATATAACCAATTTCAAGACTTTGAATTGTTGTGGTAAGTTATTTGGTTTGAATTTCAAATTTTTTTTGTTCTGTTTTCATTTTTTTTTTCGGGTTTAAGTTTACTAGATCGAATATATGTGGTTATGGTGGCTGTTGGAGTTCGGGTTTAGGGTGTTGGGATTTTAATTTTTTTTTCTTTTTTTTTTGTTAATTTTTTCGGGTTTTGGCGGTCGTCTAATGTTGGGTTTCGGTGGTGGTTTTAGGTGGATGGTGGCGGTGGTCTGTTTTCAGTTTTGTTAATTTTTTTAATTTTTTTTCATTGTGTTTTCATTATTTTGTTCTGATTTCAATTTTTTTTTTCGGGTTTCAAGTTTTCATTTTAATTTTTTTCTTTGTTTTTTGTTAATTTTTTCGGGTTTGGTGGTAGATCTGGTGGTTGTGGGTGGGGTGGTAGATCTGGTGGTTGTGGGTAGTGGGGTGGTTCTGGACTGCTGATATGAGTTAGGGGTTGGTGGTTGTGGCGGTGTCTGATGTTGGGTTTTTTGGTGGTTGGAGGTGGTGATACGCCGTCCGGTGGTGGCGCGGCGTATTTTTTTTTAAATTTCAGAAAAGCAATTTACGACGGAAATTCCGTCGGAAATTTTCGACGGAATTGAATCCGTCGGAATTTTCCGACGGATAGTTGCAGTACCTGAAAAGTATTTTCGGCGGAAAATTCCGTCGGAATAGTGTTTCCGACGGAATCTTCGTCGGGAAAGTTCATTTTTCCTACAAATGCTTTTCCGACAACCTCTTCTAATGGAATTCTGTCGGAAACCCTATTTCCGACGGATTTCAGGGTGTTTCCGACGGAATTTTTCCGTCGGAACTTAGCCTATTTCTAGTAGTGTTAAGTCGAGATTCGAGAGATGAGATTTAATACCGGTAAATTAACTCTGTGATTATAATACGTAACAAAAGCCCTTTGTAATCTGATTAATTGATGCTTGATGATTGCTTATTATGATTTGCCCTGGAATATTGTTTATTAGTGAACCTATGCCCTAGGTTTTCCCTTCATTGATTTATACCCTTTTTATTCCCTTCCTACTCTTACCTTTTAGTATTTAATCACCTTTTTACAACAATTTGTTACTTGATAATTTAGATTGCATTTAATTAATTTGGAGTAAATTGACTTGTTTCCCTGTGGTTCGACCCTTCTTCTCTATCTACATAGTTAGTGGATTTAGGTTTTATTTTTGATTAAGTGAATACGACTTGAGCCTGTCAATAATTAACTCCTAAAAATAACACGCGCCCGATCGGGCGCGCCTTTTTGCTCATCAGGTACATTCCTCGCGCCCGGACGGGCGCGAGTTCGGGCGCCGACCTTGCTTCCCCCGCCTAGCCGGGCGCGCCTTCGGGCGGTAGCTTCTTTGGCCGGGCGGCACTCTTGGGCCACTATTTGGACTTCGATTGGGCTCCAATTCATCGGGCCAATCTGGATTTCCTCTCCGGGTCTTGAATACTTGGTCTAAATGCCCCGGTATCACATATACCGAGCCCTTAATCACCGGTTCAATGGCTCTAATCGGCCTTGGGCTATAAAAAATGGTCGTGTTTCTCCAATACTCGTAGTTGCTCCATAATATCTCGGGAAAATGCTCCAAAAGCACAAATCCCTACAAAAGTCAACCAAATCTACGAAAACACTAGAAAACACCAATTAGTAATAAAAGTGGCTCAAAAGAGCCAAAAACACTACTAATTATGACCAAGGGATGGGGGTAAAATACTATATAAAATAGACATATCATGCGGCTGAGCTCCAACGTGGTTGTCGTGGCTACGACAGGAAGAAGAGAGTGTGTGGTGGTCGGTCGGGGTTGCGGCAGGAAGGAGAGAGAGGGGTTGGTTGTGGTGGTGGTGGGTGGGGACTACGACAGAAAGGATAATGGTGGTGTCATGGTGGTTGTGTTGGTGGTGATAGGATTAGAAGAGAGAGAAACAAATCTAGGGCTCTTGAGTCTTGGCTGATATGGTGAGTTTCTAATAGGAAAGAGGAGAAAGAATGAAAAAAATAATTGTACTTGTATATATTTTGTACATTAGCTGATACAAACAATATATCAGCCAATTGATATTTCATATAAATCAACATTCAAGACATTTATAAAAACGTATCAGCCTACAAATGGATTATATCTGCCTACAAAAGATGCATATAAGCCAACAAGAGCAAAAATATCAGACAACAAACGCTACTTATCAGCCAACATATAGATCATATCAGCCAACAAATAAATAAATCAGCCAATTTAAAAAATATATAAGCCAAATAATGTCTGATATCAACCAAAAAAAGGACTTATCAAAATAAAAAAAAATATCAGCCAACACAAAAATCATATAAGCTAACAAATAATACATATCAGCTAACACATGAAACATATAAGCCAATAAGTAAAATATATCAGCCAAGCCAGATGCACGGAAATTTGTGTGCGGGCATCTGCACGCGTTTCTCATCAATAATACTTTAGTATAACGAGTTTCATTAGTATTAATAAATCTTATTATTATTTTCCATAACATTCTTATACTACTAATTAATAAATCAACAAACTTTTATCTCTATTCTCTCACAATTAAGCTAGCTAGCAAGTACAAAACCCATGCTGGCCTGGCTATATATCGTCCTATTCCTAAAGTACGTAGTTTAGGTAGTTGTCTACATCCACTCTTTAATTTCTTCTTCTCTCAAACAAATTGAACAAAAAACAATGAAAATAAAAATAAATAAACACCACTCAAAATTTCTTAGGAAATGCACTACTTAATAATCCTTAAAACTTAATAACTTCTATAGAGAGCAAGCTAATCCACAAGAAAGTGCCATTAAGAGTATGGCTCCTTCTTCTTCGTCGCGAGGAAAGGATCTCTTAGAATTAGCCTTAAGATAATCCATGTTTGAGCTCAAGGCAAAATCTTCAAAACAAAGCTTCTTTGCATTATTAGATGTGTTATTATGAGTATAATTATTGTTATTTCTTGCAGCATCAATAACTTTGCTTCTTTTCTTGAGAGGTAATGTATGGCTTTTATCATGATGATTATTATCATCTAAGCCTTTTTCTGTTTTTATCACTTGAACCTTTGGCTTGGGAGTTTCCACAGGCAGTGGCGAAATCGATGGCACAACTGCATTATCATTGCCAAATCCTGCTGCTGCTGCAGCTGCCATTGCTGCCCTTCTAGCTTTCCTTTGTCTTATTCCACATGCATTGCAAAGAGACTGTAACAAAAACATTCGACATGTATTTATGTCATTAAATCATAAACATTGACAGATCTAATAAGAGACTATAACAAAAACATTTGATATGTATTTATGTTATAAAATCATAATCACACACATATCTAATAAGGGGCTTGGGTGACACGTGTCCCACTATTTAGAAAAAAAAAAAATTTGACATAACAAAAGTTAGGATAGAAATGCATGAGACATGTATTGAGTTAACAATTACTTATTACCCCTCTAATTCAATAATCGTAGATCCAATTCTAACCATTAATTTTTTAAAAATGTTTATAGATCTCATTGAAAGGAACACATGATCTAAGGAAAGGGTTTCGCGGCAAAAACCTCTTTTTCAAGGAAAAAAACCCTACTCATGGATGGGTGATTGGGTGGTCCTTGAGAATTTTCAATTGAAATTTGTTTGTTGTTTTATTAGAAAATATATACTTGTTCCTTTTTTTTTCTTGATAAAATTAACTTAGATGGTCCTTATGATCCAACCAAATTAAGATAATTGAACTAATTAGTTTTTTGGTGCGAATAATTGAACTAATTAGTGATCACAAATTTGAACCTTAAACTAATGCTAAACTCTAACTTATTCTTGGCTTGACAACTACCTTCTTATCCCAAATTTAGATTATCCCCTCCCCATCATTTTGATCCAAAACTAGCATTAGCATACATACAAAAAAAAAACCCTAATTCAATCACTCAAGTGTAACCATATAAACCATTATCCTTCATTAATTAAGTACCGGGATCAAAGTTTAAAAATGTACACCGTGCTTGTTAGAAACTTTGATCCTGGTACTTAATGAAGAATTGAATCTCATAATATCTGATTATAAGCATATACACAAAAAACACCTAACTCAAACACAAGCGAATGGTTAATTATAAGCACTTAAAACATATTTACCCCTTAGATAGTTTTGCTAATAGTATAATTTGAACTATTAATATGACAATTGAATCTCAATATAGCTAGTAGCAAAGCAATAATTTGAACTATTAATATGACAATTGAATCTCAATATAGCTAGTAGCAAAGCAACAACTATAATTTGAACCAGTAATATGGCAATTAAATCTCGACAGAGCTAGTCGTAAAACAATAAGTGTAATTTGAACCAGTAATATGACAGCTAAATCTGTAGAGCTAGCAACAAAAGTAGTGTATGAACATCAGATCACATGATCTTAACATATAGTGTTGTTAAATTCGAGGCGAAAATCGAAAATACCTTAGGGCCTTGAGGTCCACTTCTCCAAAGTGGGGTTGTAGTAGTATGACAATCTGAGCACACTCTTATCCCATCATTGTTTTGGCGTTTGGAAAGATCATGATCAAGCTGCTTCTTGCTATCTCTTGAGTCTTTAGAGGTTGCTATTTTTTGCATTATTCTCACCTTTGAGGGCTTCCATTTTGATCTAGAGTACTTATTTTGATCATTGTTATAGTTCACTGGAGTTTCGATTTTCGCCTTGAATGAATAGCCATAACTACATCCACTATCATCTCCAATGGTGTTTTGAAGCCATGGTGAGCATGGTTGTCCAAGATCATTTGCTTTATTTTCATGGGACAAAACTAGCTTTCCAACCTAAATTCATATGATCATAACATATATTAGTATCAAAGTATGACATATTACAAAATTATCAAAGTATGACATTTTTACAAGGAAAAAGTTTGCTTAGCATAATTTTCACACTATGAAGTATAATGCTCCAATTCCCCCCCTTTCTAACTTTTTTTTTTTTTTTTCCAAATTACTCTTAAACTATACTAATAAGATCACAAAAGTTGTATCATAAATATATCAATAAATAAAAATTATGCAAGATGGTTTATAATTTATTTTTTTTGAACAAAGATAGTTTATAAATAAGATAACAAAAGTTGTATATTGTAAATAAGAAATTAAAAAGCTTGCATAACAAGATAGTTTATATAGGATTTGTACAATTAAAACTTGCATATTGTTTTTTTTTGTAATATTATTATAATATTACGATCATATTACAAATTTTAAAGTTGATCTGAATCCGTCACTTATTTAGAGACAGAGGGAGCATACACGACCATAAGAAACAAATATATAGATAATTGGAACTCGCCTTTTTTTGTTCATGCCTTGAATAATCAAGAGATAAGATTTCATCGCGGTTGTGGGATTCTTCATGATGTAAATGACCAAAGACTTGGAAACTATGTTGTGTATGATCTCCTTTTAACTCAAAGAAAGGTATAGGAGATGAAGTTTGAGGGTGATTCAAGTAAACCGGACTCATATTTTAGAGAGAGAAAGATCAAACCTAGAGAGAGAGGGATCAAAAGGGTTGGAAAAAAATGAGAAAGGCGGCATATGCTAAGGTTTGATGATATTAATGTTGTTATATATATATATATACACATCAAAATGATCAAATTAAATAATTATATTGGTAAATTTGGTAAGTTATATTATAAGGGTAATAAAGGTAAGTGATCATATATGAATATACTTTGATCAAGGGTAATATATATTAGCTATTCACGTGACTTCATGTCATCCAAGAGACACAAAATGCTAAAAGAAGACAAAACCTAAAGAAGGCGTTGAGTGCTACAACTCGATCCTATAATGACAAAATTTCTCAGTCCATATCTTTCTATTAACCTCTAACATCAACTCTACAATAAGGCACAAACCATGTTTATTATTTTACATTATGTTTTATGTAGGTCAAGTTGAAGAGATTATAGATTTTAGTTGTTTGGAGTGGAGGAGAGATATCGAGGAGTAAAAGCGCTACTAGTTAAGTTTAAACAAGGTTTCATTCTGTAATTGATCCGATTACTTGCTTAGGTCATGAACTAATTTGACGCTATTGACCATTTTTTAATATGGAACTATATATACATACTTGTACCTAACGGTCTTTACATTAATGTGAGTCTGTTTAATTAAAACTTCTAAATCATGCCGAGCATCATAAATATTATTGTCATTCTGAAAATTAGAATGACGATCGTATGAGCCAAGATTTTGAGGAGATCATCGATAATTGGGGTCTAACAACACAAATTCTAAGATGAATGGTGATTATGTTATAAAGAGACTAAATGAGAGAGTGAGGAATAGCTCAAGTGGTTAGAGCTTCTCTCCCGGCTCCAGGAGATTCTCACCCCCGCCCTTGTGGCTCTCTAAACACCAAAAAAAAAAAAAAAAAAAAATTAAAGAGACTAAATGAACCATTATCTAATACCACTTGTTAGGTTTGGAGAAAGATAATGAATGAAAGCACATTAACATATTCAAGTGAAGTTTCATCTTGAAATTAATTTTCAATTAGAAGGCTAAAATATTATTGGTTATTACTGTAAAAGGTAGGCCGAATCCTAATAAAATTGATCATCCGGTTGAAACAAAGTAATCTAAATTGCACTATATTTTTAGCTTACAATCTCAAAAGTAGCTGACAATTCTAGCTATTAAGTGAAGGCCCAAATTAAATCTGACCTAAATCTAATCGAGTTATAGTAAAAAAAAAAAAAACCCCTAAATCTTTAAAAAGAAGGCTGATTTTATTTGAAAGTTGAAACAATTTACAATCCGTCACGAGTGTTCACTTTACACAATTGAGCAGGTTGCACTTTAAATCCATATGATAATAAGAGGAGTAATCCCTTAGTCTTAAAAAATGGACACAACTTTCAATGTGGGACACAACTTTCAATGTGGTATACATATCTCTATATTCATCTTCACTTTTACACTTTTTCAATGTGGGACAACATTTCCATTCACATGTGGGTTTGCTCGTGGGTTCAATACTCTACTTATAACATTATATGAATAATTGTCGAATTAGATCAACCAACGGCCAACCTATTCAAACATAAAATCAAACAAAAATTTCCAAGTTAGTGTTAAAATCATATTTCATGTTGAATAATAATCTAATTTGAAACTCTGAAAATACTAGGTCAAATTTAAATTGAGATCAGAGGTGTAGTACAACTCACGCAGTCACGCACACATATTTAAGCACCTAACATGCTAAAGGTACTTAAAGAAGAAATTCCCAAAAATTACCCTACTGTAATAATTCAACCTCTAGTACTTCGAAAATCGGAAAAATTGCCAAACTAAGCGTTTTTGGGAAACAATTTCCCAAACAAGACGCGTGGCAAAACTATTTACCAAACTAAGCTTTACCCTGGGCATTTATTTTTTTTAATTTTTAGTCAAGGATAAAACGCCATCAAGGGTGGCGTTTTACTGCTGAGCAAATTTTTTTAAAAAAACACATTTACACAAAAACGCTAACGCCGTTGGCGTTTTACCCTGAGTGATTTTTGTGAAAATAATTTACCCCCCTAAAGCGCCACCATGGTTGGCGTTTTATCTCTGCACATAAACACAGCTACACAGCAACAGCAGCAACAACCACAGGAGCTGCAACAACAACAGCAACAACCACAGGAGCTGCAACAACAACAGCAGCAACAACCACAACAACTACAACAACAGCAACAGCGACAACCCCAACAAGAGCAACATCGACAACCCCAACAAGAGCATCAACAACAATCACAACAACTACTACAACCTTAACAACAGGAACCACAACAATAACTGCAACAACATCAGCAACATTAACAACACCAGCAACAACAACAACACCAGCAACCAATATAATGAAAAGAATGAATGCGTATGGTGAAGTTGATAATGTACAGAAAATGAACTAAAAAGGTTAGTAAAATTGATAATATTTATTTGGATACAATGTACTATAGAATCTGATTACAACTAACAAAAGAAGTTCTAAGATCCCGATTCATCTATTGTATGTAAGTGTTGTCTATCCAATCGCGGTCTTCTACGACGGTAGTACTGAGATACCGTTGTGAAAGGATCTGGGGCAGAGGTCTGGGGAGGAGTCTGTTGGCTGGAAGATGGTCCTTCCTGAGATGAGTATGGCGCAGACATGTGGATGGCGATATCTTCCTGATCATCAAAAAACAGGGGGGACCCTGTAGGGGACGTGTGAGTCTGTCCCCTACTACTGCTGCCTACCTCACGGTGTGAACGGCGGTGTGATTGGTCCCGGCCCTGGGGGATAAGATGGCCATGACCATGTCTCTGTAAGCTACTCACAGTCATTGCGTGAATGTCATCCAACTGCGGTATGGTGGGATATGATATGCTCAAGACTTCTAGTGCATCATGTATAGCAAGCATATCAGACGCCTGCATTAGTCAACAATCAGCCATTTTAATAATTAAAGAAACTATAAATTGGAGGAAAAGAAAAAATGACAAAAAACTCACATATCCACTGATGTCTCCAAAAGCTGGGTGGTAATGCGTTGAGGGTGGGGTGTAGTTAGGGTTGATGAAGATTCGGGTAATGCTCCTGTACCATACCATGTATGGATCGTGATACTCCATCAGGCCTTGGACAGGCGCACCATCCGCGACGTGCTGCAGCCGCTGGTCCCACATGTCAATGTAAGGGGCATGCTGAACTGCCCAGTTAACCTCCCCCTTTCCTCGTCGGTCTGTCCTGTGCAACTGGACATTCGTGTCACACGGGGCGGGGATGGCTTGACAAAGGCCGAACTGTCGCATGACTCTGTCGGGGAGGTGAGCCTCCACCAACTCAAAACAGATGAGCACTGTCATGGCATGCCACTCCATCTGGTGATCAAGAAGATATTGGGGCATGGCATCGACTAAGTGAGGGACGTACGGATCCCACGTCATCTGCATTAACAAGCAGTCATTAACATCATAATTAACTTATTAAAATAATGAACACGGTGTTAAATTAGTTTTTAAAGTGAACTATAACCTGAGACTCGCTCAGTCTGTCGAATGCATCTCTATAATACGGCAGACCCCTTGCTGCATGCACACGAGTAAGTCTCCGCCCTAGCCACCTGATTACATGTATAATAACAGTGTTCATGACAAAATTAATAGAAAATTAAAACCATATGTGGATAACTTAACAATAAGTCATACATACCGGCAACAGTATGCTAAGTCCGGTGGTGGGTGTGGCGGCGCCTCATATGCATGCTCCTGATCGTCTTCCTCCTCCTCCTCGCGTCGACGCCTAGCAGGCATAGCTGGCCTACCAACGTGGATGTGCTCCCAAGCCCATAACTGTAATAAAAAAAAACAAAAGTTTAGTTTAGCCAATGTTTAGTACGTAATAGGTAGAAAATGGTATGAAAGTACAAGACTACCTGAAGCACAATCAAGGGACCGCTGATCTCCCATCTACTACGCTGGGATGCTCTGCAAAGATGTCGATATAAGGTTGCCAGACACGCACTACCCCAGCTGTAGTCACGTATACCCTCCCAGTTGTTCTCTAACAGTTGTAGGTAGATCAACTGTATGTGACTACCACTCTTGTTACTGAATAATGATCCTATCAACATGAACAGGTACGCTCGAGCGTATCTTTGGACGACCCCATCATCAGCATCAGGAGGCAACACCCCAAATGTCTCTCGTAACCATATGTGTCTTAACCCTGTGCCTCTAACATCGGTCGCCTCAGGCCTCACCCCTAACACCCTCTCAACAAGGCCACGAGGGTCCTGTATAATCGGTCCTGTAACTGCCCTACCATGCACTGGGAGCCGTGTAAGTATCTCCACATCTCGGAGCGTGACGGTGGCCTCCCCAACTGGTAGATGGAAGGAGTGAGTCTCCTGTCTCCATCTCTCAACGAGCGCAGTAATAAGCGCTCGATCGATCGGTGTGAAGGCCATCCTATGAAATCCGCCGAAACCCACAAAATCGATGTACTGTAGCACACGGGGGTCGACCACCCAATCTACCACCGTGGTGGCAACGTGGTGCCTGCAAACCAAGCAACGTGCTGGATCACCCTGTACAGGAACAAAAAATAAATTGTTTGATCAGTGAACCAAATAAATGCCAAACACAATAAATATTTGGTAGATGAAAACTTACTATCTGCTCCCATATGTCACGGCTCCGATGGGTATCCTGAAGTGTCAGCACTGAAGGGTCAGCTGGTCCAGGGTTATGTCGTGTCTGCCCCTGATCCTGTCCCTCCATGATCTCTGTTCAGCGTACAATGTAAAACAAAAGGTCAGCTACATCCTACTTGAACACATACACACAACATGGTATAAAAATAATACATAAACTAACACCACTAACGGTCACCATCCGTTCGAAAAGGGCAAGATCTCTTATTGTGTCCTTCCTGACGGCAACGACTACATTTGCTTGGTGGACGGTTTGTCTCATCCATTTCATTTCGTATACGCTTCGACGGTGGGCGACCGTGTCCTCGGACCATGATCTCATCAGGAATGATTTTAGGCCCTCTGTATGACCTCCACGTCGTCTCACAAGGAATAGGCCAGAATTGTGGGGCATAAGTATTTGCATACGCCTCTGATCGTAGGAAACTGTCCACCCACGGTTCCTCAGAAACTGAATACTTAAGACACACGGCTAGAACATGAGAACATGGTAGGTGAAATATCATCGGTTTGTTTCATGTACATGTTCTTAAATTAAAGTTAACGGTATGCTTATGACCCCCTTTTCTCCCTATCCTTTCTCCTCGGTGTGTTTTTACTTGGTATATACCAAGCTGACGGCTATAAACATCCACTGTATGGTATTTTGCCTTTCTATTATTCTTCTCCAAAATGGCGGTGACCTTAGGTGAGTATGCATATCCGTGAGCACGCCTAGAAAGTGAACTATCTTTGCTTCTGTTAAAGTACTTGTTAACTCTGTGGAAAGTTAACTCGACAAGGGACATCAAGGGACATGATTGGCAAAAAAACGAGCTCCCTTCAACACATTGTTAAAAGTTTCTGAGAAATTTGTAGTACATATACCATGCCTCCGACCAGCATCATGAAACAAGGACCATCTGTGAAACGGCACATCCGTGATGTACTCTAGGAACTTAACACAAGCTTCGCCGATAGAACGCATATCTTCAAACAATTTTTTTTCTTGGCGTTGGTATGCAGCAGCCTTGAACCTGTCTCTCATGTCGTTGTTTTTCACATGGGTCCTCAAGTTAGAGGCCATGTGTCGAACGCAAAACCTGTGAAAGGCCCGTGGCTCATGAAATCCAACATCCGGGTTAGTCATCGCAGCAATAATCCCCGCATGTCGGTCAGATATAACACATAGGCCCTCTCGATCAGTAACATGAACCCGAATGCAGCTTAGAAACTAGGACCAACTCGAGGTGTTTTCCCCTTCAACTATTGCAAATGCTAAAGGAAATACCTGAAAATTAGCATCAACACTTGTAGCAACCATAAGTGTGCCTTTATATTTCCCATACAAGTGTGTCCCATCAATAGATAACAGAGGCATGCAGTGTTTGAAACCATCGATGGAAGGCTTAAAGGCCCAAAACACTCGTTCAAATACCTCCATGTTGCTGTAATAAACGCCTTCAGCAATAGCTTTGTATTTCCACAGAACTACAGTGCCTGGGTTCGACTCCTGGAGGGCTTGCATGAATGAAGGAAGTCTGTTGTATGAACTCTCCCAATCCCCAAAAATTTCCGCAATCGCTTTCTGTTAGGCATACCACGCTCTTCGATATGGAACATCGAATTGAAATTTGTTGGAGATGATATGTTGTATGAACTCAACTCTCAAACATGGATCTTTCTGCACAAACGACTTCACATAGTCGCAGATAACAGAGGAGTCCAAGTGTCGATGATCTCTGGGCGGAACTTCATTAACACAATTTTCGCGATGTGGGCCCTTGTTAGATACGATCTTAAAGGCACGTGTGGTTAGATTTGTTTTTGTACCACGTAGCGACCAACCACACCCCCTCTTGCACTTTAAATGAAGGACATTCTCATTCGACGTCACTGTGGTGTAGAAATGATTTCGCTCTATGGCATACAATTTCACCATTTCCTGTAGCGCTTTCTTATTGTCGAAAATCATGCCCTTCTCAAATTCTCCCCCGACACGAAACAAACACTGGCTCCCCGAATCACCCCAATGTATGTCCACCTCATAGTTCTCGTTTATTTGACTGAACCAAGGTAATGGAGTTCTAGCAACAACATCATCCACAGACAAATCGTTGTTTATAACATCTTCATCTCCGTCTTCACCCTCGTCGTTTGTGTCATTATACATATCAAGAACAGACAACTCGTTGTTTACAACAAGTTCAGCATTCACCAAAGTCTGAAACGGTGGTGTTTCAATATGTTCTTGCGTGAGTAACTTTGCAACTGCATCGATGATGAAATGTCATTGTTTGAGGTAGATGGACCAGGTTGCTGCATTGACCCCGACGCCGTAAATTGTGAACTGAATGGAATGTCAAATTGATCGTCGTGTAACATTCTACTGAAAGAACCCAGTCAATATTCAGATGATGGAATGTTATATGCGGGCATTTGTAGAGAGCTTGCATTGTATGATGGAAGAAATGTTGGTTGTTGAGTACATACAGGCACCGTTTCCACATACAAATCAGTAGGAAGAGACCTCATTGCAACGACACCCCTCAAAACCTCCAAATGGTCGTCATTCAAAACAGGTAAGATTTGAATCCCGCTAACACTTTCAAACCTCATTTTGATGTTCACTTCAACACTTGTTGGCTTTGAACCAATTATAGTATAAACTTTCTTCAACAAATCATTGTAAGTCATACAAGGTTTCAATGCTAGCGGTTCCATTTTTCCTCCTCTATACTCGACATTGGGTCCGACACACAAAATTTCACCCCCCCCAACGACATAACAAAACAATCAATTGTGAAGCCATGTTCTACATAACATCAGACCACATATTAGGTGACACATATGCACAACTAAAACCACAATGATTCCAATAAATCCCCAAGCAAAGCGTACATACAACGCAGTGTTCAACAACATACTAACTTACCTACTTAATCTAACAATGTAAGATACATTTAAATGTACTTAACTCAACAATGTAGTTCGTAATTCCCTAAATGCTTCATATATGTAGTTCAACAACTAAATGCTTCATATAAATTATACGAAATTATACAACATACATATAACTATACTTAATTTCAATAATTAAACAACAATGTATTATGTAGTTATACATATTTCGCATACTTGAACAACACTATAGTACATACATTGTAAATTACAAACATAAATTCCCAAAAAACATCATACACAAGTAAAATAGTTAAATTCAAGACATACCTCAATTTCGATGAAAGTAAGGCATAACAGTGTTGAACAAAGAAGGAGGATTAATTTTTATTGACTATGATGCAAAACTAAGCTACGGAATGTGATGAAATTGCTTCAAATATGGAGAATTGGAAGTTGGTATGCGCGGGGTTAGGGTTTGCAATTTGGGGGTTTGGTTGAATAATGAAGAACAGCGATATATGCTGTTAGAAATACCCGACTCTAAAACGCCAACGACGTTAGCGCTTTTGTGTTAAAAGTAAAACGTCAACGGTGTTAGCGTTTTTGTGTAAATGTTTTTTTAAAAAAAATTTGCCCAGCAGTAAAACGCCACCCTTGATGGCGTTTTACCTTTGACTAAAAATTAAAAAAAAAATTGCCCAGGGTAAAACGCCACCCTGGTTGGCGTTTTACCCTGAAAGCTTAGTTTGGTAAATAGTTTTGCCACGCGTCTTGTTTGGGAAATTGTTTTCCAAAAATGCTCAGTTTGGCAATTTTTCCTCGAAAATCAAAGGTGAAGAAGCTCCAAACACCCAAGCAATTGTAGCTAAATCATCACATTTTCTGCTATTGACTTGCATTTTCACTCCGACAACCACAGGAAACAAAGAGTACAAACAGATTATTATTATTTAGCTTTACATACATACTATGGACTACTGTCTTACATTCCTTTGTCCTTCTTCTCACGGGAGTTTTTTTTATCATCACCATTTGGTTCCTCAAATAGTAGGATATAGATAATGTATGTAATATATGAACCCGAACGACTTTTTGCATCACACACTTAACTCTAGTCTTGTTTCACTAGAATTTTTAAACTTGAATTAAAGCGAAAGACGTTAGCTTAGTTATCTAAGTGCATGATACACTAGAGATCAAATCATGTCTATGTTATAGTTTTTGTGACTCCTAAAAAATAAAATATATATTTTTTTGAATAAGATGCTTTATTCCTTTGTTTCACACCATGAAACCTACAAATATGTTTGCCTTTTATCATATGAAAAGCATAATAATATAAATAGTCATTAAGAAACCTACCAATAATGTATGCACTATACGAACCCAAATGACTTTTTGCATCACACACTTAACTTTATTCTTGTTTCATTAGAATTATTAACTAGTGTAAAAGCAAAATCTGTTTAAATCATGTCAATATCTCTAATTTATCCGATCGACGTTAACTTAGTTATTCATGTGCATGATACACTAGAGATCAAATCATGTCTATGTTATTGGTCTTGTAACTCCCTTAAAAATATAGAAAGAAAAATTTTGAATAAGATGATTTATTCCTTTATTTCAAATTTTCACACTATAAAACGTACATGTATAGCCTTTTATCTTATGAAAAGTATAATAATATAAATAGTCACAAAGGAATTTAAAACGGTCAAAATGCCTAATATTATTGGTGTCAAATGTAGTAGTATTATAAATTGTTTGAGGTAGATATGAGCTAAACTTTGCTCATTCTTAGATCTTAGCCCTAAGATGACATAAAAGAGATGGAAGATTTAATAATATCTTCATCACCTTTATCATTTTTTAAAAAATTAATTAACTAATTTATTAAACTAGATATAAACAAGTGCATTATCTTCACCTTAAAAAGATAAGTTTTAAGGTAAATTCAGTATAATCAGATGTAGATATAAGGTTAAATCAGAGTTGATTAGATCTGTTTTAACAAATTTAGTTAAGATTAGTTCAAATGGAAAGGACACACCCACACCTAGCATATGGCCGGAAATTTAACCGCCTAATAAGTGATAACCACGTAAAAGATAAACAATAAGGTGATACATACTTGCACGAGTACATACGTGTCTAACAAACTTGATCCTCATGCCTAATATTTTACAAATTTAACTGTACCAACTGAACCAAGTCTTGCTTTTGCACCTTAGTATATACAATTAAAATACTCAATACCATATGTATATATGTGCATGATCATATACAAACAGCAGCAAAAGTTTAGATTATAATAATGTCACCATCCAAGATATATTATGACGGACCCCAATAAAAATATGATCACCAAACTTAATGACAAAGTATATATGAAAATTAGAGAGGGCAGTCACACTCTTTCTGAGCTTGCCAAATCTTTTGTTCCAATAATTCAACCTTACCACAATCCTCAAGAAATTGAAAGGCCATCTATTGGTTCTCTTTGCTGTATTTTGGGCTGTTTTTTTTTTTACCCCCTTTCCTTTAAATTGTTCACATGTCTTCCCACTTGTTTAATTTTTGCAGGAAAAAATTATACTACAGGGTATATATGTATATTATAAAATACCATTAATGCACTGGGACTTTTTTGGGACCATAGATCATGGCATGAAAATAAAAAATTATGTCCTCATATTGTTTATATATGATCGTCCATGCTTTAATTTATCAAATATCTTATATATATACATACATACATACTCTTATATATATTGATATACGCCCTCTGATTTTTTTTAGATTTGATAGTTGAGTTTTATGCTTTCAATGTACAACTTTTTCTAAAATTATCATTAATCATCTATGAGTACAATATAAATCACAACACTTGGTTTAGGGACTAAGGTGTGCAATGAAATGTGCATTCGTTTTGAAATGACATTCCAATTAACCTAAAACAAGTGAGATTCGCGGCCTAGAAGGACATAATGACAAGGTAATGAACACACATTTCAAACCTATAAAACATAGTGTAAAAATATATGCGTAGTAATTTAAACTCAAAAAGTTTAAAGTAAAACAACATATACGATCTTAAATTCAAATTTTTTTTCCTCCATCACATTATAATATTTCTAGTTGAAAATCTTGCAATTATTCACAATCTAAGAGAATCTTCTA